AGAGGCCACATATGGCTGGCTGCTGAGAGGAGCAACCAGCTTGGCTTCCTGGAGGAGCCCGTCACAAGGCACCTTGGGGGCAGGGTAACTGTGGGAGTGGGGCATGGAGAAAGCACTAGTTTTTCCTAAATTGTTGAGGGGACAGATGATTTCAGGCCTATTGCCCATGATCCTTTGCTAGTCTCTTTTTTCCTGTACACCCCTTCATGGCAGCCCTTAGTCCTTCTCTTCAGCAGAGCTCTTGGCACCAGAGCCCTGCCCCATGCCCTATCATACTGATCCCAACCTCTGGGAAAAAGCCTGGTGAAGCAGGATGGACTTGAACTTGAAATCAGATATCACTGGCTCTGTCCTCATCTCTGAACAGATGTCTGCTACTCAATGTCTAGTTTGCTTTTTGGAAATAGGGGCTAAGACTGCCTTGTTCCTGGGGCACTGCAGAGAGGTCAGTGATGCCGACAGCAAAGTTCCTGTCATCTTTCTGCACAAAGTACATGCTCAGAAAGCCCAGCAGCACTCCTTCCCATCTTGTAAATGTCCAGGCTCTGGCATTGCTTCTCGATAAAGATTTTGGCTTCAGCTGGCTGAGGAGGCCTAGGGTGGCCATGGGGGAGTTGATGGTGGTTTCCCACTTGCTGTCAGAACCATACAGGCTGCTGCAGGTCTGGGGAGAAACCCAGAGGTCCCAGTGGTGACTCAGACATGCTCCAGCAACCCTAACCCAATGGGCAGCAGATCCCATTCACTCTGTTCTTCCTTATGTCTGTCTGTCTCTGGGCCTGACCATGTAATGCCTTGCCACTTCTTCCTTCCTGGCCATCCCCACAGGCCAGTACACAACCTCTTTCTCGATGAGTGTCACAGATAGGTTTCTGGGCAGTGACAAAAGTCTCGGAATAGTACAGGTTGTGGTGTGAATTCTGTCCTTTTCTGAGCTGGCCCCGGGAGCCCCCTGGCTTCTTGCCCACTGTTTCCATTCCCTTGTCTTTGGCTTCTCTTGCCCTCTTAGACCTGCAGAGTGTCTAGGCAACAGTTAGGGACCCTGGAACCTTCCTATGCTTTTCCAAGGATCTCCAGCTGGGTGAGGAAATGGGATTCCCTGGGGGAATTTTCTTATGTTGGGATTTGGACATTTTGCACCTTAGTCAGCCACTCCTTGCACAGCCAGCTTTGAGCAGGGACTAGAGCAAGGGAGTCGAAAGATTCAGCTCCAAGCCTGGTTGTAAGACTTTGGCCAACGTCTTGCCCCCAGTTTCTTCATCTGGGAAATGAAAATCTGTCAGTATTATTTTGGAGATCCTGTCCTTCTTAGTGAAATGGCATAGAATAAAAGATTTCTAGTAGAATTGGGTTAGGTGTCCTGCCACCTCATGTATCAGTTCCTGTTTCTCAGGTGGCTGAGGGCTGCCATTGTGTCTGAGGTCTGAGACATCACTCACCACTTAGCTCTTGACCCGCTTCTGTGGGCAGTACTGCACCCTTTCATTGACGCATGCAGTGCCCTCCGTCCCGCCACTCACTCCCTCCAGTTCTCCACCTGCCCATGTTGTGTCTACTGATTTTTTCCTGCACTTTACATCAGTTAAAATTATTTATTCACAAGCTGAGAAAAGAATGTTAGCTGACTGAATGCAGAGAGTCATGTCTTGGGTGTGATGTTGGGTAGTATTGGCAGACACCAGGATCCATTCACTGGGGTGTTGCCGAATAATCAATCTCATGCAGGAGTTGCTCAAAGGAAAGCTTTATTTACTTGTAACAAGTGAAGGAGATAGTGGGAAAGTCACGTTTCCACACAAACTGCCTCCCTAAGAAGGAGTAGGGTTAGGGAAAATCCAGGATGTAGAAAGAGGGAGCAAGAGGGCCTTTCCCATTAAAACAGTGCACATCTTCATACCCTGAGTGCTAAAACTCGATTCAGACTGACTTCTTGCAGTCTTGGTTGGTTGACTGATGGTTCTAAGTTTCAGGTTTGCAAGATCTGCCTTGCTAGGACATCCTTTGAAGGATAGGCTCTGGGGAATGAACTGTGTCTGATTCTGTCTCTGTCCTGTGCCCCCCTATTGCCTAAACCTTGTGTTCTTGCTTATGGTACTTTATAGGATAGATGGGCAACTGAGAGACTTGGTTTGTCAGAAAGAGTGAGTGTTTGGGCAACAGGGACTACTTGATAACAAGGCCAGATTTCACGCCCTCCTCTCTCCTGAGAGGTGGTGGGATCTCCTGAGCTGGCTCATTTGCTTACTTCTTTGTTGGGAGAAGGCAGAGCACTTGATTCAGTAACACTGAGACTGTGGGTCCTGGGTGGGAGGAGTCATTCTTCAAAAGGACTTAAAGGTGGGATTTGGAATGGAACATGGTGGGCATGTACAAAACCAAAACCAACCAGTTACCAAACCAAGCATCTCAAGTATCTCAAGCATCTTTTGAAGTATCAAGAGATCACTCAGTATGTAACAGGACAGAATTTCACCAGGATTTACCACCAGAAGACTTGGGCCTACCTCTGGTTTCTGTTCTTCTCTAGCAATGGGCCAGACTTACCTTCTTTTCTTTTTTATTTTTTAAAGATTTATTTATTTATTTTTAAAAGATTTATTTTTATTGGAAAGGCGGATATACAGAGAGGAGAGACAGAGAGGAAGATCTTCCGTCTGATGACTCACTCCCCAAGTGAGCGCAACGGGCCGATGCTATGCCGGTCCGAAGCCAGGAGCCTCTTTTGGGTCTCCCGTGTGGGTGCAGGGTCCCAAAGCTTTGGGCCGTCCCCAACTGCTTTCCCGGGGCAACAGGCAGGGAGCTGGATGGGAAGCAGGGCCGCCGGGATTAGAACCTGTACCCATATGGGATCCCGGGCGTGCAAGGTGAGGACCTTAACCACTTGCGCCACCGCGCCGGGCCCAGATTTGTTTATTTTTATTACAAGGTCAGATATACAGAGAGGAAGATCTTCTGTCCTATGATTCACTCCCCAAGTGACCGCAACAGCTGGTGCTATGCCGAACTGAAGCCAGGAGCCAGGAACTTCCTTCAGGTCTCCCACGTGGGTGCAAGGTCCCAAGGCTCTGGGCCGTCCTCGACTGCTTTCCCAGGTCACAGGCAGGGAGCTGGAAAGGAAGTGGAGCAGCCAGGATTAGAACCGGCGCCCATATGGGATCCTGGCACTTTCAAGGCGAGGACTTTAACCGCTAGGCCACCACACTGAGCCCACCTTCTTTTCTTTATAAAATGAGGACAATTGGGGCCAGTACAGTGAGTAGCCCTCCACCTGTGGCACGAGCATCCATGAAGACCCTTGTTTGTGTTCTGGCTGCTTCACTTTCAAATCAGCTCCCTGCTGATGAGCCTGAGAAATTAACAGAGCTTCCAGCTTTGGACCAACCTAACTCTGGCCAAAGTAGCCATTTGGTCAGTGAACCAGCAGATGAATGACCTCTCCCTCTGTTTTCTCTGTAACTCTGCCTTTCAAATAAAATGCTTATATACATCCATCCATCATTGGATGTATATGACAGTGTATGAATAATGTCTGCCTTGTTCAATTCAAAGAAGTGTTGTGGGGATGTGATGAATTAGTAGGTATAATGACATTTTTCAAGTACTAGGAAAGAGGATTGTTTTCACCGTAGCTACTTCTGTTTTCAGGGTGGCTGATGAGAACCCCCTTGGCTTGTGGGCCGCTCTGAGTTCTGTTGCACTCTCCCTACTCTCCGTGTGGTGGTAACCATGAGAGGAGCTGTTGAGTGTTTCAGTTTCTCAAGCTGTTGGATGACTGTCCAGGGTAATCTCTGTCCCCATTTTAGAGTCACAGATGACCAAGGCTGTATGGGCTGCAAGTAGGCTAAATACAAAAGTGGATGAGTGTGAAGTGTGGGTTGGGGCCTACTTTCTTATGGGTAGGTGTGAAATGACAAGAGAGAAGCTCTGATCACGAGAGTGGCCTAGTTATTTTCAACTCACAATAGGGAGGATCTATGTTCTGCAAGTTGTAGACAAGTCAGCATTGGAGACCAGAATGAGGTCAGAGGACAGAGCACAGGTATAGTGTTAAGAAGCAACTTGGCATATATTTGTCCCATGCTGGAGTATTTGGGTTTGAGTCCTGGCTCTGCTTCTGATTCCAGCACTGTGCTCATGTGCACTCTGGAAGGCAGCAGGTCATGGCTCAAGTATCTGTGTCCAATACTGCCTACGTGGGAAACCCATCTCCGGCCCATCTCTGAGTGTTGCAGGCATTTGTGGTGTGAACCAGTGAATGGGAGGGCTCAGTCTCTTCTCTTTGTTTCTGTCTCGTTCTCTCTTTCACTCCTCTCTTTCCCTTTCAGATGAATAAAGACAGAAAATGTTTAAAGACAGAGCAAAGGAGACCAAATGGTTTATATTCCTACAACATGTAGGAATGTACATGTAACACATATATGCACCATGTACTTGTGGGAAATAAAAGATCCCTGTCTGTGCCTATAAATGCTTGGGCTCTTTTTTTGAGGGGTTGCATGAGAAATCAGCAATAAATATCTTCCTGTTAGGAAGGATATCAGGGAGGAGGTCACTTTTCTTTGTGTAGTATTTCGTGTCTTTAGAATTTGGTCTCAAGTGTATGTCTCATTCAGTTCTCACAATTCATCAGGCATGGGGTGCCCAGGTGTTGTGGGGAGAATGCCTACAGAGCTCTAAACCCAGCCCCAGCCTCAGGGTTCCTCTCTCCTTAGCCTGGCAAAAGACACCGGTTCCTCACAACAGGAGTCTTCTGAGGCCACCGGACCAGGGCAGAGGCCCCTTCCTGCCCAGCATAGCACTCACCCCACCCTTCACCGTATCGAGGAAGTGGACTTCTAGAATTACCTTTTGACACCAAAACACAACCTTACATGCCTCCCCCTAAAAGGAAAAGGGTGACATTTAATGCGGGGGAGATCAGGGGTTCCTCCCACAGAGGACAGCGTGTCACAGAGGCAGTAGTGGAGTTGTGCCAATGTTGGGTCAGGCTCCAGCCTCTGCAGCTGAGACAGGAGGCATAAGACATGGCCATGCTCCAGCTGTGCTGACTGCGCCTCTGTCAAAGGGACTGGCTTTCTAGGGAGCTCAGGTGATGAGATCAGCTCTGCTTGCTGGAGCCCGTTATCAACAAGGAAAGGAGAAGCAGTAGTGGTCGGAACCTGACCCGGATCAGCTGAGGCTGATGGCCTGCTCTGGCCTTGACCCCTTGTCCAGAAGTCAAGAGGTGAAGAAGAAAGCACAGTGCCTGCCTGCCAAGGAGGCACTGGTCAGAATGACCTGGAAGAACCTGCAGTTTGCAGCTACCTCTCTGCAACTCTGCGGTTTAGAGACAGTGTGCTGAGCCCCCAAGGTATCTGTTCATGCAGGGAAGACATGGCATTGGGGTGTCAGTGAGGAAATAGGCTGGCATGGGAAGGAGCAGGTCCTGGAGACTACTCCATGAGGATGGGGCATCTGACTAGTAGGAGCATGACATCTGTCTCCTGATCTGACCTTTCCCCAGAGCACCCTACGATTCCTGGGCCTTGCCTGCCACGTGGGAGTTGGTTCTGAGCAGGGCGGCTGTCTGCCAGCCACAGACACACAGCTCTTTCTCTCAAGATGAGAGGATGTGGGCTTTTGAAGTGGACCTGGTTTGAGTTCTAACTTTCTTTTTTAAAACTTATTTATTTTTATTTCATTTGGTAGGCATAGAAACAGAAAGAAAATCTATCCACTGGCTTACCCCTCAAATGCCTGCAACAGCCAGAGCTGGGCCAACTCAAAGCCAGGTGGGTGGCAGGGCCCCAAGTACTTGAATCCTCACCTGCTGTCTTCCAGAGAACGTGCTAGCAGGAAGCTGATTGGAAGTGGAGCAGCCAGGACTTGAACCAGGCACTCCAAAAAGTGAATGTAGCTATCCCAAGCTGTGTCATAACAGCTGGGCCAAGTGCTCACCTCCTTGCTGGGCTATTAATTTACTTGGTGACTATGCTATGTCAGTTCTCTGAGCCTTGATTTCCTTGTCTGTGAAATGGGGATGGTAATGCTACTGAGGTATCACCAACGTGTTTTTGCAGCCTTACAAAACGAGGCATTAGCAAAGTATATTAGTAGGGCTGGCTAAAGTTGAGCTGGTCCACGTGAAAGGAGAGTGAGAACCTCAGGCTTAGGGGAGAATACGATAATGGGTATATTTAATGATCCCTTCCTGCCTCTACATGCGTTGCCTACAGTGGGCTCCAGTGTTCTACTTGGGAAAAGGGAGAGTAGAAGACATCCATGGTCAGTGTGAGAGATGGATGGGAAAGAGGGTGGTGAGAGAAGAACCTACAAGTGTGGGATCCTATAGCACTAGGGCTGGGTCCTGGAAAACAAGTCAGACCTGGGAGAGATTTATTTCTTCCACCAGGAAAGGCCAATGGATTTTTTTTATTTTAAATTTAAAAGGCGGAGTACAGGGGTCAGTGCTGTGGTACAATGGTTAAAGCCACTGCTTATAGTGTCAGTGTCCCATATAGGCACCAATTCGAGTCTTGGCTGTTCTACTTTCGATCAGGCTCCCTGCTGTTGTGCCTAGGAAAGCAGTGGGAGATGGCCCAAATGCTTGGGCCCCTCAACCCTGGATTTGTTTGGGTGTTGTGGTCATGTGGGAAGTTAAACAGCAGATGGAGAATCTTCTTTCTGTCCCTCTCTCTGTGTAACTCTGACTTTTAAAGAAAAGTATATAAATCTTAAAAAAAAAAAAAAAAAAGCAACGAGGGTGGAGGCCATACTGTGCCCCTAAAGCCAGAGCAGCAAGTGAGGGGTCATGGGGTTCTGGCTGCACCACTGCTTCCTCCACAGCGGTTAGGAAGGTCCAGAGGAAGAGTGAATGAGACACACCTCAGTGTCACATCAACTGGAGGCAGCATGGGGAGAGCCAGGGTCCCCAGCCTCAGCCAGGGCCGGGAGGCTGCCTAAACACCCGATGCATCCTGAGCCAACCTGGGAGGGAGAGACACTCCTGACTGGAGGGAGCCTGCTTTGTGTCAGAGCCCTGCTGGCCTCCTGGGTTGCCTTTGCCAAGTAGCTGCTCCACTGTTGCTGGGAACAGGATGCTGCCGTGGGAGCTTGGTTCTTGACACTAAAGAAAGCAACGTTTTGGGAGCACAAGCAAGCTGTAGTGTATGAATTGTAATACTGCCACGTGATGTACCACCCCTATGGTCACCTGGACAACACTCCTCTAGCCACAAAAGCCACCTGCCCATGCTGCAGAGTCACAGGCTGCTTTCCTAGCTTCATCACTACGGTCACTCTGCTCACCCACTCTTTCTTCAAAGCCCTCTGAGCATTTCTACAAATACGAGGGAGCTTCTGACAACTAGGAGCTGCGCTTTCGTGTCCCACAGCTGTACTTGGATTGCTTCCATCCCTTAAAAAGGCTTCATTCCTCAGCCCCAGAGACGATTCAGGAACTGCTCAGCAACAGGGATGTGGAACTGTTCTATTAAAGAGATAAGAAAGAAACCATTGAGGCTGAGTCCCAGTGGGACAGGGCTGGACTCGCACACACGGAGTGTCCTGCTGGCTGACTGGGCCTTCTCTTCATGGGTCTGTAGACCTTTTCCCTTTCCCCTCTCTGCTAACAGGAGCATGATCTTTGCCAGTGCTTCTTTCGAGCCTTGATGGGAAGACTGAGATGGTGGAAAATATTTCAGTGCCTGGCACATTGTGAACATGCAGCAGGAAATAGCTGTATCAGTTGTTCTCCCTCAGCTTCTGTACTTAGTCTCTCTCTCTCTGCCCTTGCTCCATCACCTCCATTCTCGCCATCAGAGAAAAGGTGGATGATAGAATCCCTGAGAATCTGTCCTGTGAGACTGGCACATAGAATCAGGGACTGATACAGCCCCACATTTTAAGCAGCCATGTCAAAGTGATGTGGACTTCCTGCCTCCCACCTCTCCTGCCCCTGGGCCACTGATCAGCTCATCTGAACCTGTGTTCCAGCATGTGGGCAGATGCTCAACAAACATAACTGCTTATGCAGAAATGCCAAAGCTTGACAGTTCAGGTCAGCAACCTGGGACTCATTGTGGACTTTCATACCTTCTTGAGGCTGGGCTCCCCTCTAGCAGGTGCAGGGATGAGGGTGAATGGATGTGGCCTAAAGGGCTCCAGAGAAAGGAGGCACTAGGGAAGGCCCCACTGCAGGGCTTCATGGTGAGCAGGTTGCGATTGTGACAGGGCAGCCTGGGCTTTGGGAGATATGTGTGTAGAGCAAGTCTCAGGGTGGGGAGCAAGTTACTTACCCATCGGAGCTTGGCTGGTACTAATCAAGGGCAACTTTTAGGGACAGTTCCTCAGTATTTCCATCTTGTGAGTGTGGGTGATGCTGTATCCAGGCAAGATCTTTAGTTAGAGTTATAAGTACAGTAGAGGGACTTGAATAGGGCACTTGCCACATCTGCTTTAATGTGTACACTAGGGAGTCCTGACTATTCTACCTCAAATTGATTCTGAATTCAGAGACTTCTTGTCATCTGCATAGCTACTATCTGATCACTTTAAAGAAGTTATTAATTTGGGCCCGGCGCGGTGGCGCAAGTGGTTAAAGGTCCTCGCCTTGCACACCCGGGATCCCATATGGGCGCCGGTTCTAATCCCGGCAGCCCCGCTTCCCTTCCAGCTCCCTGCCTGTGGCCTGGGAAAGCAGTCGAGGACGGCCCAAAGCTTTGGGACCCTGAACCCGTGTGGGAGACCCGGAAGAGGCTCCTGGCTTCGGATAGGCATAGTATCGGCCCGTTGCGCTCACTTGGGGAGTGAATCATCGGACGGAAGATCTTCCTCTCTGTCTCTCCTCTCTGTATATCCGCCTTTCCAATAAAAAAAAATAATAAAAAATAAATCTTTAAAAAAAAGTTATTGATTTGAGAGGCAGAGGGACATACACACACGTGTACACACACACACGTGTACACACACGTGTACATACACACGTGTACACACACACGTGTACACACACGTGTACGTACACACACACACACACACACACACACACACACACACACACACACACACACACACCAAGCTCCCATCTGCTAAATGGTTCTCCAGGTGCCCCACAAGCTCCAGCTGGAGTGAAGTTGGGAACCAGGGGTGCAATGCAGCTCTCCCATGGGAATTGTGGGAACGAGTCATCTGTCATCATAGTGGCTTCCTACGTTCTGTGTTAGCAGGCAGCTGGAGTCACAGCAGAGCTGGATTCTGAACCTGACATGTTGATATGGAATTAGAATGTGTGTATTCTAACTTTCCCCACATAGGTCTAACAAGCTCCTACCTGGTTTCTTTGCTTCCAGCTCATCCCAAAGTCCGTTTCCACCAAGTAAAAGGGCTCATGTAAACAAGTAAGCCAATCATGTTATTCTGCTATTTAAACCCTCCATGATTGGGGCCAGTGTTGCAGCACAACAGACTAAGCAAAGCCACCACCTGCAGTGCTGACATCCGTGGGAGCTCTGGCTCAAGTCTCAGCCACGTCCAGTTCAGCTCCATGTCAATGGACCTGGAAAAGCAGTGGAGGGTGACCCAAGTATTTGAGCCCTTGCCACCCAGGCTCCTGTCTTCAGCCTGGTCCCACCTAGACTGTGGCAGCTATGACGGAATAGATCAACAGATGGAAGATCTCTCTCTCCCTTTCTCCCTCTCTCTCTCTGTAGCTTCGCCTTTCAAATAAATAAACAAATCATTAAAAAAAAAAAGCCCTTCATTGCCTGTTTGCAAACCTAAGCTGCTACCAGGTCGCATGCAACTCCGTGCTTCTTAACTCAGGTGGTTTTGCCCCTCCAGGGGGGCATTCAATATCTGGAGACATTTTTGATTGGGACAGTTTTGGGGAGGCTACTGGCTCTGAGTGAATAGAGTTCAAGGGTGCTGGTAAGCCCTCAGTGCACGGGACAGCCCCAACAAGAAGCAATCATCTGGCCCAAGATATCAGCTGCCCTGAGGCTGACAATGTTACATCACATGCGGCCTTGTCTCCTGCGACCCTGTACTTCCATGGCTCCCTTGGTTCCCTTGTCTTCCTACTAACACTTCACTCATGGCCTTCGCACATGCCACAGCCTCCCCTGGGAAAGGGCACTTCTCAGGCCTGTCCACGACTTATCCTGTCATCACATCGCAGCCTCTGCATCCATGTCACCACCTCAGAGAGGAAATTGCTGGACACTCATGATGTAAACCCCTCCCCTTCCATCCACTCTGCTTCCTGTTTCTTTGTAGCCCTTACTATTGGCTGAAACTGTATTCTTGATTTTTAACATTTGTTTATTTGAAAAGCAGAGTGAGAGAGAGATTTTCCACAGGCTGGTTTATTCTCCA